GATAGGGAGACGTGTGCGTCAACGTCAAACGCTGGAGGAACTTGGCGATTCAGGAAGAATGGAACAGACTCCCCCAATTGGTCATTGGGAGACTCACACGCAGTATGCCTCGTTGTCTGAATGAATGTCTGACCCTACGTGGTGGAATCACGCACTACTGAATGAAAATCGTACTCTCAAAACATTCATTATCATATCAACATTGATTGACTCCGATATATCTCCCATTTTTTTCAATCGTAAATTAAAATTGAATTTCACCTACTTTTGGGAAGACGATATAATTAGAAACTACAACCACATTATTTCTACTGTAGGTCAAATGAGATAATTTCCACCTTTTCTATAAACAACATTATTTTAGTTTTAGACATATTAACAGTCAAATCCGATGACTTTGGAGAATATCAAGACGCTTCATTTACACTATCTGCAACAAGAACAACGTCATCTGCGCAAAATAACAGAAAAACTTCAATGATAGCAAGATACACCTGAATATCTCTACTGTTTGAATTAATTATTTCATTCGCCAACTCATTAATGGACAAGGAAAATAGAACAGGACTCAAGACGCAGCCTTGCCTTACTCCATTCGGACATTCAAAGAAATCTGAAAAACCTCCATTTGTCTTGACACAAGGTTTACAAACCTTATACATACACTTAACGCTACGAAACAACTTTCCCTTCAAACCAATTTTGCGAAGAAGTAACAGCAACATATTTCTGTTTCCACTATCAAAGGTCTTTATGAAATTAACAAAGGCAACATAAAGTTTACTCTTCCCATAGATATGTTTGCACAAGTGTACACAAAGTAAAAAGATTATCAGCCGAAGAATATCCGGCTCTGAACCCAGACTGAGATTCCGAATTCGCGATTCATCATTATTCTAGAGCCCAGATAGTTATTCTAAGAGACCCAATATATACTTTACACATTGACAACAACGTTATGCCTCTATAATTATCTGGACAATCATGAGATCAACGGGACAATAATACCTTCTGACCAGTGCGAAGGGAAAACACCTGAATCATAAATAGTGTTGAACAGCTTAACCATATAACCAATGAGAAATGGATTACTTTTTAAAATCATTTCCGCCAAAATTATCAATACATGCGGGTTTACCGCTCACACTCGTCATCACTAACAACTGAATCTGTATCCCAACAAAGCCCATGATTCTCAACAAGGATGTCAGTTTCAGCTGACCCACTACCAGCGCTGCTAAATAATCCGGTGAAATGAACAACCCAATCTGCACATGAAATCGGTGCGGGAGCGCCTCCCCTACGCATATGCTTCGAACAGGACCAGAATTTACGATGATCATTCTTTGAGGCTTAAAAGCATAATTTATCCACCCCTTTCTTATTGAGTGCCTGCTTTTTACCTCTAACTGTTGACAAAACCAGTTTGTACTGAATAAAAGTATGACGTGCTATACATTTTCTGTGACGTCCTTCTACCTTCTACTATCCAGTTTTAAATCATAACATTCTTCATCATACCACACATTTGTAACACGTTGATGTTTACAATGGGATGGTTTGACAAAACATTTAGCTGCATACATAGAAATACACATCAACATCAGCATGTGGAGCATGTCAGTTGCATTGCTTATAGATAACTTAATTTCCTCACCGGAAAGATTGGACACATGTACATCCACCTTTGACTCATCCCAAACATATTTATCAGTCCCTGTACAGCTTTCAGTGACAAGCGTTTGGGTTCCTGTTGAAAAGGTCAGTGGCAGATGTATCCGCTCTGGGGGATATGACTCTAATCAGCACACAAGTCCGTCTTGGGGTCCACACGATTTATTCTGGTCTAGTTACAAGGGGTGGCTCTGATCTCTGAGTTTCAGTCCGAACTGCCCAGCACTGCTGGTTCACAATCATTTATACCATCCATTAATTGACATAGCTGACATTCCTTGCCCGTACCCGGCTTTTCCCCCATTCCATGTTTGGTGTAGGTCCCTGTGGTCAGTTTGTGTCTTTCGCCAGGGTTACGTCTTCCCCCCCATCGGATTCTCGACCGATGGGGGAGGGGTGACTCATGTCGCCAGTTCGGGTTCCCTAATACGGAGACCGATCCGTGATTCCTGCCTCTGATAGATGTTTAGATTCAGATCTGTTTCCAAGTTCAAAGTCCCTTATTATAGAAAACAGTTCAGATGATGCAATACAATAATCCGTTGAACTTGCACAATTCTAACAAAAGAACGTGAACATACGAGTTGGGATAGACACCCGACAGTTCAGGATGGATATATTTAGAGATTGGCACAGCTCCAAAAGAGAATTACCAAACTGATTGACATTATTGTACTCATTAGTTCTCGGTGTTGATAGTCCATCATAGAAAATACCATCTTCATCCACATGTCTGTTTGGTTCAATATAATCAGGTAGTTGACCAGAGTTGAAGTCACCACATAATATAATTAAGAGATCTGATTTAAGATGTTGTAAAACATCCAAAAGATTTCCTTTCGAAACAGTTATGCTGATATTATTAGCATTGTCATCGTAAAAGGATGCATACCTAGGTGGGATGTACACAATTCCTAGTAAAATGTCACTTTCAACACCAAACAAATGTTTACCAACACTGAAAAATATTCCAATATGACACTTGTGAATACAAGTAAAATGTTTGGCAATATTTATTTTGATAAATACGTATATACCACCGCAATAACGGCCCTTGTCATGAAATCTGATAGCATTCTGTATAAAGCACTTATAATCACTAAAACTGGAGGGGTCAACTTCCTTATCCGCCCCAAGTCTCCAGAAGGGCGATAACATTGTGTTCCAATAAATAAGACATGAAATCAACATTGTCAGTTTTGACAATAATCCTTCAGTTGCAGAACAGGTAATCACACTTTGTGATAACCGTATAAGCTTTGACCACACCCTTACTTAGTTCCTTTGCTGTTCGCCACTGAAGATCTGAGGTTGGGTCTGCTTGGACGCCGGCCGGTATCCTGTTGGTCCACGACCACCATATTACCCTTGTTGTACCCCGTATTTCCCTCAAGTTTAGGTCGCTGAAGTTCTCCACGTTGTCGTCGTGTCAATTCAAGGTATACATTGCGGTGCACACACTTACACTCTCTCACACACACACTCACACTCTCACACACACTCACACTCTCTTTACACACTTACACTCACACACACGCTCACTCTCTCTCTCACTCACACACACTCTCTCACTCACACGCTCTCACACACTCACTCACACACACTAACGCTCTCACACACACTTATTGTTACTGAGTACCTCCAACAGGACAATATGACCACCTTGCCATGGCCAGCACACGGGGGTTGTATTGTTACTGAGTACCTCCAACAGGACACCATAGCCATCTTGCCATGGCCAGCACACGGGGGTCGTATTGTTACTGAGTACCTCCAACAGGACAACATGACAACCTTGCCATGGCCAGCACACGGGGGTTGTATTGTTACTGAGTACCTCCAACAGGACACCATAGCCATCTTGCCATGGCCAGCACACGGGGGTCGTATTGTTACTGAGTACCTCCAACAGGACAACATGACCACCTTGCCATGGCCAGCACACGGGGGTCGTATTGTTACTGAGTACCTCCAACAGGACAACATGACCACCTTGCCATGGCCAGCACACGGGGGTCATATTGTTACTGAGTACCTCCAACAGGACAACATGACCACCTTGCCATGGCCAGCACACGGGGGTCATATTGTTACTGAGTACCTCCAACAGGACAACATGACCACCTTGCCATGGCCAGCACACGGGGGTCGTATTGTTACTGAGTACCTCCAACAGGACAACATGACCACCTTGCCATGGCCAGCACACGGGGGTCGTATTGTTACTGAGTACCTCCAACAGGACAACATGACCACCTTGCCAAGGCCAGCACACAGTCAAGACTTGTCACCCATCTAACATGTCGGGGATACCTTTGGACGGCACGTACGTCACCGTCAAAAACCATCAACGATCTGGGCACTGCCCTGTAGGAAGAATAGGACGTTTTATTTTGAGTATGCGTGGGATTGTCTTTGGAAGAGAGAATATGTTCTGGCGATATTAATGAGTTTGACTTTATAAACAGTGAGGCGCTTTGGCCTGTCATCTGACAAAATCCATGGTCACGTTACGTTGAACGACTGATGCAAATCTCAGTGAGTCTGTTACAGTGTTAAACTAATTATCTAACTGAAGACACAAATGATCAATTGTGGTGACACCTGTGTATTGAATATCACCTGTTTTATAGTAGACTGGAGATGGATAGACATCAAACGAGGGGTCATGATTTGAAAAGTCTCGAACATGACTAACTGACGCGTTGTTTCTCCTGTGTTATCCTGCAGAGAGAGACAAAACCAAGTACCACTACAACAGCTAGTTTATGGACATGTGTTTGCCACGTGTGTCACAGATGTCACAGGATACGGTTATTTGTCATGCTTTTGATTTCTTTAAAGGGGTACTCGGCTCCACTAAATGGGTATCCCTACCAAAATCGAATGTAGTTAATCAAAACGATCTTAAATTGTCTGCTTACTCAAATATTAAATTGTTATGAATCTAACGATAAGTCACATGCAAAGTTTGACAGGGAACTAAAACAGCGCCACAACTTAACTGGAAATGGACTTGAGGAAGTGCCGCTTAGTCCCTATTTAACCAATCAGAATCATCATTTTCTCACCCACCCCCCTTACACACACACACACACCCACCCCCACACCCCACCACCCCAGCCACACATTATGAACAGTCCCTGAGTCAGAACCTCATTTCCCTTCAGGAAAAGTATTTCATTGGCTCATCACATATCAAGGTAAATCAACGTCCTTGTTGGGATACTATAAAGAGCTGCATATTGTGCCTAAAGACAAACGCGGCGAATTACAGTGCTACGTTGACACTCCAGTGACCACAAGCAGCATTGTCTCCAGGCAGTATGAGTCCCGGACTAGTGTTTGTCTTACTGTGCGCACTGGCATCTGTAACTGCTGCTGAAGGTAAATATTTTCATCATAATATTTCAATTTTATCTCACCTTACTGAGAGTCAAGTGAACCTATGTGAGTCGCTTGTCCGGGATCTGTCGAAGAATGAAAATGTGAGAGGTCTAACTTTGTGTTAAAGTTTCGACTTTAATGGATTGTAAGTGTGGAGTATTGGAGTAAGTATTGGAGTTCAATATTGCTAAATGTGGAATTCCAATGTTCAATAACCAACAGTTGAATATTTAGTCTGCTGATTTGTTTTGCAGATAGGCCTCGGTGTCCTAGGGGATTCCTTGAGCACGGATCTTCTTGTTATTGGTTCTCCAACATAGAGGGATCATTTGCTGAGGCAAGTGTAAGTATGTAACTGTTGTATTTAGACAGAAACTTCACGACACGTAAGCATCCGGCTTTACTGAGCTGGAATCTTAAACCTTATAGACGTCACTGGTGTACGCTGAACCAGCTATACGGTATCACCAAGCATATTCGAATCTCCAAACATGTTTCACTCACAAATCACTTTGAAATCACTAAGCATGTTGAACCGATGTTCGAACACCCACCCTACCCACCCCTTTGAAATTCCTGGGCCTAGATTTTCGAAGTTCTCTTAGCGCTAAGATAGTCGTAAGTTAATGTTAATGAATGGCACTTACGACTATTTTAAGCGCTAAGAGAACTTCGAAAATCTAGGCCCTGGATCCGCCTATGACTGCCGGGTTAGAATTGGTCTTCAGCTACCCCTGCATGTAAGAGGCAACTAACGGGATCGGGTGGTAAGGCTCGCAGGCTTGGTTGACACATATGAACGTATGTTAATTGCGTAGATTGTACATGTTGTTGATCAATGGATTGTCTGGTCCAAACTCAGATATTTACAGATCGCCATCATATAGCTGGAACATTGCTGAGTGTGGCAACAACAACAACCAAACAATCAAACATTCCGTGTTCTCTTTCCAGTCCTACTGCCAGTTCTTTGGGAGTCACCTGGCCAGAATAACTAGCGAAGATGAGGACGACTACCTGAGAAGCCGTGCAAATGAAGAAAAAGGTGACCTCTGAATTTATTTCCAAATGGAGTTGCATTAATGGTAGCAATATGAAAACCGTCGTCATAATCTTCTACACACCATAGGCAACACTCATCTTGTTTTATTCACGTTGCTGTATTAAAACTCACCATGTGTTATTTGTAGTGTTCAAAAACTCACCATGTGTTATTTGTAGTGTTCAAAATCCCACCATGTATTATTTGTAGTGTTCAAAAACCCACAATGTATTATTTGTAGTGTTAAAAATCACATCGTGTATTATTTGTAGTGTTCAAAATCCCATCGTGTATTATTTGTAGTGTTCAAAAACCCACCATGTATTATTTGTAGTGTTCAAAAACTCACCGAGTGTTAATTGTAGCGTTCAAAAAACCCATCGTGTATTTTTTGTAGTGTTCAAAAACCCACCATGTATTATTTGTAGTGTTCAAAAACCCACCGTGAATTATTTGTAGTGTTCGAAATCCCACCGTGTATTATTTGTAGTGTTCAAAAACCCACCATGTGTTATTTGTAGTGTTCAAAAACCCACCATGTGTTATTTGTAGTGTTCAAAAACCCACCATATGTTATTTGTAGTGTTCAAAATCCCACCATGTATTATTTGTAGTGTTCAACATCCCACCATATGTTATTTGTAGTGTTCAAAATCCCACCATGTATTATTTGTAGTGTTCAAAACCCACCATGTATTATTTGTAGTGTTCAAAATCCATCGTGTATTATTTGTCGTGTTCAAAACGCACCATGTATTATTTGAAGTGTTCAAAAACTCACAGTGGTATTTGAAATCCCACTTAGTGTTCAAAACCCACCGTGTGTTATTTGTAGTGTTCAAAATCCCACCGTGTATTATTTGTAGTGTTCAAAACTCACCGAGTGTTATTTGTAGTGTTTACAAACCCACCGTGTGTTATTTGTAGTGTTCAAAACCTCACCGTGTGTATTATTTGTAGCATTCAAAAACCCACCATGTGTTATTTGTAGTGTTCAAAAAGTCACCGAGTGTTATTTGTAGTGTTTACAAACCCACCGTGTGTTATTTGTAGTGTTCAAAACCTCACCGTGTATTATTTGTAGCATTCAAAAACCCACCATGTGTTATTTGTAGTGTTCAAAAAGTCACCGAGTGTTATTTGTAGTGTTTACAAACCCACCGTGTGTTATTTGTAGTGTTCAAAACCTCACCGTGTATTATTTGTAGCATTCAAAAACCCACCATGTGTTATTTGTAGTGTTCAAAAGTCACCGAGTGTTATTTGTAGTGTTTACAAACCCACCGTGTGTTATTTGTAGTGTTCAAAACCTCACCGTGTATTATTTGTAGCATTCAAAAACCCACCATGTGTTATTTGTAGCATTCAAAAACCCACCATGTGTTATTTGTAGTGTTCAAAAAGTCACCGTGTCTTTATACATCACCAGGACCAAACAGAAACAGCTGTCACACATTGTCATCATTTCCACGTGCATATTTCCAGGGCGGTGGGGTAGTCTGGTGTTTAAAGTGTTTGGTTATCACGTCTTATTGGCACTATCCTTCATGTGAATATCGCGAAAATCATCAAGTAAGAACAGAAATCACTGCATCATTCATGACTAACTTATTACCAAAGCATTCTGAAATTCCGATCTCCACTCATTAAAATAACATCTTAGATCTGTTATAGTTGTTTTTACCAGTACCAGATATAGTAATATCTTTTTTCCAGGCTCTATAGGCTACTGGCTGGGTGCGACTGATCTGATCAAGGAAGGGGAGTTTATGTGGGAGGGGCGTTCCCTTAACTACACAAACTGGGCTCCTGGGGAACCTAACAGCAGAAATGCATCCAGAGCAGTCAGGGCATTGTCTTATGCTCCAGATGACAACTGGCTATAAGTGGAATGATAATGATTGTATTAAAAGACAAAGTTCATCTGTGAAAGGAAAGTGTCCATGTGTTGCTGCAAACACTGAAATGTACACAATGACGAATGAAATACAACTAAACATCAGACTGTCCTTTCAAGCTTACTTCACAAGCAACCCAAGATAACTGAATCATATCTGACTTCACTTTCGTATATGTATACTGTCATGTAAAATAAACATTAAACTTTCCTAGATGAACCAAATGATTCACAATTCTTGTTCCACTTAGTTACGTGCATCATCCTCATCCTAATCATCATCATCATTGGCATACACATCGCTAAAAAAGGACGATCTTGTGACGCTACATTTTATAATGAGTGAGTGAGTGAGTTAGGTGTAACGCCGCTTTTAGCAATATTCCAGCAATATCACGGCGGGGGACACCAGAAATGGGCTTCACATTGCACCCATGTGGGGAATCGAACCCGGGTCTTCGGCGTGACGAGCGAACGCTTTAACCACTAATCTACCCCACCTCCCTACATTTTATAACAATGGTGTAGACTTGAGATTTGGTTACTGGGTATTGAATGCACAATGTCACACAGAAAGTGGTGAAATGTAAAATATTTTATATTTGGGAATAAGTACTTTTATTAGGTTCGGTCACCAATCTGACCCTCCACACGCCCCCCTCCGAATGGAAGTCAGACAACCGATCACAAACTTTGTGCACCCCTTGCGTACTGTGAAGCATTTTAGTCAAAGTCATCTCAATTTAATTTTTAATCTTTAATCCTCGCAAACACGAGGAGGGCCTGTGGATTAGATCGCTGGCTGTGTGTGATAACGACTAGGTGCCTATAATTATCTCTATTGGAGATATCTTTAAGACAATTGGAAATATTAGTATTTCAAAATAAAGGTGAAAACCATTCACCTGCAGTATGATAAAGGTTTCTTGACACAGGTGTGTG